ACTTTCTGATTTGAACTATATCACAAAGTTATGATAATCAAAACTACATGATTCTAGCCAAACAGACAAACAAAAATCAGAATCATAGAACAGAACAGAAGCCCAGAAATAAATCTATGGATATATTGTTAACTAATACATACGCCTAAAACAGTGAGAGTGTAGAATTGATCCTGGGAAAAGTGAATACCTTTCATAAAAAAAGAATGAAATGACAGGGCTGTAGAGATGGCTCAGCGGTCAAGAGCACAGACTGCTCTTACAGAGGACTCAGGTTCAAGGGTTCGCTTCCAAGCACCAAAATCGTGGCTAAAAAGCATCCATAACTCCAGTTCCAGGGGATCCAATGCCTTCTGACCTCCGGCGGCATTTCATGACATGGGTGCACTTACACACATGCAGCAATACACAGATACACACAAAAATAAAAATAATAAATAAAAATATTTAAAAATTTTTATTTTATTTTGGGGGTTTCTGATAATGCTACATTCTGAACACACAAAGGGTACAAAATGATTTTTTTCAGAATATTTCAAAGGATGGTGCCAGTCTATCATTGTCTGCAAAGCACTTTCACATACTGTTGCTGTAGGTCATTTTGTCTCTTGATGCCTGCTTTCTGCCGTTCGGATCCATTCTTTAACTCTTTTGTGAATGAAACTAAGAACGCTTTAGGGGACCCCCCTTTCTCCCCGTTTCAGTACAGGCCAAAACTATGGACATAAAGTTAAAAAAAAAAAAGAATGAAATGAGACTCCAGCAGTCACTACTCACAAAATTAACTAGATATGGACTAAAGACTTAAATATAAGGCCTGGCACCTTAAAATATCTCACAGAGAACAAGGGAAAATGACATAAAAACCACATCAAAAGTGTTAGTAAATAGAACTGAAAGTCTGTATAGCATAGGAGACAATGATTAAAATGAGTAAACTATAAATGGTAGAAAATATTTGCATATATAAGTATTACATCCAAAATTGATAAGGAACTTATCTAATTCCACAGCAAATAATCCAAATACATATCAGCAAAGGTTTCATAGAATTTTTCTTCCAAAGAAGACAAAAATGGACAGACATGAAAAGATGCTCAATATCACTAATTATCAGGAAAATGAAATTCAAGACCACAGAACCCTCTAATCTTTCAAACATGACAAGGATTGACTGGGCTAGGACTCAAATGAAGTTTTTCCACTCTTGGTCTATTGTCACTAAGACCTGACAGAGCAGTGCAGAGAGGAAGTATTTATTGGAGTGCAGTCTGTAATGGTGGGAAGGCCTGGCTGTGGTGATAGGACTAAGAGGCTGTTTGCTTACATCTCCAGGGCTCAGCAAGCAAAGATGGCATAGGATCTGAGCCAGGTTGTAAACTCCAAGGTCTGCTTCCAGTGACCCACTTCTGCCGCCTAGGCCCCACCTCCTAAAGGTTCTGCACCCTCCCAAAACACCTTTATGGGGACCAAGATTCAAACACATGAGCCTGTGAGGAATATTTCACACCCAAATTATGACAGATGTAAATGCGATCTACATTGATCTGGGTGTAGGTTAACCAAAGTTCTCATTTATAAATAAATACTTATAAAACTATATGGTTAAGACTTACGTATTCCACTGTTTATAAATTTGACCTCAAAAGAACTATAAATATTCATCTTTAGTTAATGGTATGCACGGCAGTGTGTTTAGTGTGAGCCAACTGTACAGATAACTACAACTGTCTTTGAAATGCCTCAGAAAGTAAGATGGATCATGGGTGGGTGAGTGCATGATAAAGCAAGCACAGGCATAACTAAGTTGTGAGTGTATGTGCACTACTCATTTCTTTCACCCTTTCTGCTTGACGTTTTTCATAATTAAATATTTGGGGGAAATGTCCTTAGGCAAATTCTGACCTGGTTATAAAAGGGAAAGCATCTTTTTTCTTCTCTGCCTTAGAATCATGCAATAAGCAAAAAGAATGGAAAGCAAAAATTCCCCTTTTTACAACAAAACTAGGTCATGGCTAAAACTCTGTGTTCCAGAATATGTAAAAGATCAGCCAGAAACAGGAAAGACTGACAAAGCCATGTAAGAGATAGGGCTCAATGAGGAGAGGGTCTAAGTACCGCAGATCTCCGAAACATTGGACAAAAATACACTATCCCAAGATAAAAGTCACATGGTGTGCAAACTCTAAATCCCTTATTTGCAACTTCACAGTAGGGTGTCAGGAGTTTCTGATTCTAGCTTTTAGAGCTAGCTTGCTTCCAAAGAGAGTAGGAGGCAGGGCCTAATGAACACCAGCATGAGTGAGGCCTATCTGCATAGCAGCCAGGAAAAGTGAAGACTCCTTCCATTAAAATGAGTCTTAAAAAATGAATCTTCAGAGCATCTTGACAGATATAATCAAAATAAAGGAAAAGTAAAGTTTGAACTGAGATAAGTTTCTGCAGAGCAAATAAAAGTATTTTACTGTGAGTTCAGGTCAGCTGGGACTAGAGGGAGACCCTGTCTCAAAAAGACAAAAAAAAAAAAAAAAAATTATGGGAACTAGAGAGATGGCTCAGGGGTTAAGAGCACTTGTTCTTACAGAGGACCTGAATTCAGTTCCCAGCACCCATGTCTGTAACCCCAGCCCCCAAGGATCTGACTTTCTCTTATGACACCTGCAAACATGTGGCATATACTTACATAGTAACATACATAAATATAAGTAAAAATATAAAAAGTGAATCTTTTGAAATACTCATGTTGGAATTTCTTCTTAATAAAAAGACAGACATGGTAGAAATAAACAATACAAATAGATGAAACACACAGACATAAAACATATAAAGGAATATTATCTCAAAATTAATTTTGGTGTGCGTGTCTGTGTGTCCAGGTATGTATGAAAGCTGGTCAAGTTATACACCTTAAATTTGAACTTACTGTTATATACCTCCCACGTTAAGTTAAAAAAGAAAGACACAATAATATGAATGAACCTTAAAATACTATATAAACTAAATCATACATGGAGTATATAATGCTATTTTGTTTATATAGCATTCTAGAAAGAATAAAAATTAAGATCATATAAATGGGAAGACAGCATATGGGAGGAATTGGGTAAGAAAGGACAATAGGGACACTTCTGGAGTGTGAAGGTTTTCTGTATCTTGGACAGGTTGGTGTTTACCCAGATGCATGTAATTGTCATAACTCATCAAACTAAACCCTTAAAATTTCTGTACCTTATTTCATTCTAATTATGCTTCATTTAAAAAACTCATGTTGAAGGAGAGGAATTATGCAGCACATGGCAAAAGATTCAACATATGTATAACTGGCGTCTTCAAACAGCAAAACCAAAACAATGAAATTTGCAGTATAGTTCAGCTTCTCCCTCTACCCAGTTCTTCTCTCCAGTCCTTAGAGGTGTTTCTACATGGCGGCCCCCAGAGCCTCCTGCAGACAGATCATCTCACAGTCTCTTTCCAGAGTTCTAACTTGAGACACATCCAAAAGAAAATCACAACTGTAAAGATAAGAAAAGGATAATTTTGTTTTCACCTAGGCTACATTAAACTTTTTGTCACAAAACAGTGTAATTGACAAAAAGTTATGAACAAATGAACTATTGTGATCAACAAATATAATTTCCCTAGTATATTGTAAATCACTAAGAAAAATAACAAAAATGACTAACAAAAATATAATTATTTCAAGGCTGATTATCAGTTTGATTTGTAATAAGACAAATGAAAATTTGGAACTTGAGAATAAACAAACGAGCTTCACTGAACTACCAGCTTGGTGTTTGCCAATAGGATGGAGAAAGAGGTACTGTCTTGCTCTTTTGTGGAAGTATGAATTGGTAGGGAAGGGAGAATGGAGGCAGAGCGCAGTAACACTGTCAGCATTGCAGTCGCATACAGCCTTCACTGTGGCAGTCTCACTTCTCCCTTTGTATCCTAGAACTGCAAAATTGATAGATGAGGGTAACTGTTTATCCAAACCTTCCCTGAGCTAGCAAAGGGCTAATACAGGCCAACACCTAGTGAACCCATCCCAGGCTCCCAAGGCCATCCATGCATCACCACACAGAACTTTGAACATGCAGACTCAAATGTGTTCATTTTTCTTATTTGCATAAAGGAATGAGAGGAGCTGGCACTTGTTGATTTCTCAAAGAGGAAGCATAGACTTTGCGGGCCAGTTCTATCTTCTTCTTGGTGTTTTTCAATCCATTACCATCCTGCCTATTCACCATTTAATTACACTTTTACTCAAATTACCCTCACGCATTTGGAAGCATTTCTAATTCACTTTTAGTATAAGATAGAAACACCTTCAGCATTCAGTCTTTCATAAGCATATAATAATTAAACCAATTATGTGACAGTCTGTTGCAACTAATATGAACATATTAAATTTAGTGATAAATAGAAACTGTCAGCGCCAGCTCAAATGTGCCTTATCATGATTTCAAGTAACCCACCTGCTACGAGACTTCACCAACTGGGGTTGGAGAGACAGCTCAGCAGTTAAGAACACTGATTGTTCTTGCAGAAGACCCACGTTCAAATCCAAGCACCCACATGGCAGCTAACAACTATCCTTAACTCCAGTAACAGGGGATCTGACAGCCTCTTCTGACGTCCATGGGCATTGCATGACACAGGTGCACTTACCTCATGCAGGCAGTACATGCATACACATTAAAAAATAAAAATAATAAAATATTTTTCAAAAAAAAGAATTCACCAGCCAAGATACCAGTTGGCATATATCAAAAAGAGTTTAGAAGCTTCGATTCATACAGCAAGGTAGTTAAGAAATGATTTAAAGGAGTTTTTATTGCATAATGAAAATGAATAAATAGCAACTACTTCTCTTCCAAAATAAATAAAATCAGAGTAATCCTAATAAACATGATTTGCTAGTATGCTCACATTTTTCTGTTATGAGCATTTTGTCTTCATTATGACTTCCATATGAACCCACGTTCTTTCCAATGTTTTAGGCTTTGGTCAAAGAGTTACTAAATGATGTCCGTGGGAGAAGGCATCAAATCAGAGAGCTTAAAAAAATGCAGAAAAACAGACGTGCTTGTAAAACCTCAACCCATAAAGCCCAGACCTTGGCAGCTTCTATCCTGAACATTTCACAGTCAGACCTAATGGAAATATTGGACACAGAAGATGAAGTGGTAAGATCATTTAAATATTCATCAGTCAAGGTCTTATTGCACATTTATCTAAATACTTTTTTGTTTTATAACTTAGAATTTAACTTTTATATTCATGAAGGTGATAGTGTCATGGTACCAAAGAAAGCTATGTCCTGAGTATTAACTCCGAACACCTTTAGAGAAATGTAGTATATAATATAGGAATAAGCCAGCATCTGTAACAGGAAAGGGTATCTGCTATGCTGAGCAATTAGAGTGATTTATATTGCTAGTTATTCATGTGAGCTGTCCTTCCCGTCTCCGTTCTCTTTAGGTAATCTATATACCTTGTACACCAGGGGGGTTGTTGTTGGTGTGTGTGTGTGTGTGTGTGTGTGTGTGTGCGTGTGCGCGCGTGCGCGCACACGCACACACACACACCCTTTCATTTGTTTGGCTTGGTTTGGTTTAGTTTGGTTTTAGGTGGGATCATTACTGTGTTGTTCAGGCTGGCCTTGAACTGCTAGAATCAAGTGATCCTCCTGTCTCAAGGCTCTCAGCTATCTGGTACTACAGATAGGCACCACCACCCCCAGCAGTAACCACTCTTCTTAATTAAGCCAGTTTGAATGGACTTAGTTCAGACAAGTCACCATTGATTTGATAACAAAAATCTCCTAGGTGGCATTTCTTTGTTTAAGATATTTTTATTGAATTTTTGCAAATTTCATACAATCTCTTTTGATCTTATTTAGATCTCCCTCCCATCTGAATCTCCCCTTACTACTCCCAACCCAATTTCATGTACTCTATTGTGATTTATATATTATGTTACTCACGTGAACTCACAGCAGTGGTGACAGCATGCATAGGTTCAAAGTAAGCTCAAGCCAGACCAAATCCCAGCATAATTTTGGAAAGTGGGTAAGAAGCCCCAACTCCTCCTGAGGAGTTATTGACAACTAATGGCTGCTGGGAGTGGGGAGTGAGATTTATTTTTAAACTAACAAATCTATTGGCTTTCCTGGCTAAATTTAAAATGAATTTTGTTAACTATTTCTCTAGCCCCGGCCTTCTTTTTACCTTGTTATATATTTTTTTACTCCTATCTCCATCCTGTCTTGAGCCCCACTATGATAGCAGAAATACATACTCGTAAATTATCATGAAATAGAGAAATACAGCTATTATTTACAAGTGTGTGTAAATATTTATAAATTAAATATAAAAGATCATGAATTGAAATATTTCAACCTTGAAGAGGCAAGCCATGGCTGATATTCATATAGATTTGTTCAATGTCTAGTAGAATGAGCAAGTTCATCTAAGCGAAGTTAACATTACTGCTTTTATTTTTCTTAGGAAATTGAAAAGATAAAGATCGATGCTGAAAATGATAAGGAATGGCTATTGTGCGTTCAGAAACTCCTTGAAGGACAGGTATTTCATTTTTGTGCTTCATATGTGAAAACTTCCAAATAAAAATTCCAAGCCTTATATTTTTGCTAGATGTCTAACGTTTTGCAAACACACATCATTTATCTGTTAGGTAAAGAAGCGTTCCGAAAGGTAGACAAGAAAGTTAACCCTCTATTTGTACTCTTGGACTTAACAAACGAAACAAATGCCTTGAGAAAGAGCCAACACGAGTCTTAGCAAGTGCATTAATTAAATTATTGAGTCAACCTCTGTGCTTGCTAGGCTGAAAAGGATCCATTCTCTCAGACCTCTTAGGAAAAGAGATTCTTTATTAGTGTCTTTAAAGTTAGTAGTTGATATGGACACCTGAGGAGTTCATGGGTTTCGGTGACCTTTTATATGGACCTGTTTCCAGTCAATTCATGTTTTCCTCACAGCCAGACAGCTGTTTATTACTGTGTCTTCCCGCACTCTCTACAATATTTTCTACTGAGACCTCGAGCAGCTTGTTAGTGGGAAGTAAATATTGATTTGGCATCCTGTCAATGCAGAAAGAATGAAAAAATTTCCACCAGAGGCCCCTCAAACATTTTCCTATCGACGTTTTCTGGGCCGAGTGGAAAGCTGCATAGAGGATGACAAGGCCAAGACGAGCTGCGGTCCCTGAGGGGGTCTGTTGAGACTGCTGCTGTGACCTGTGTGATACTTTTCCTTCCCTTTCAAGTGTTTTTTTAATACACACATAGTCTGCTGGGATGCGCCCCTCTTGTAAGTGATCAAGGGCAGTTTATTGGCAGGTGAGAGCCCTGCTTTTCTAGTCACAGGCAGCTTTTGTTTGGACATCACTGACAGCATGTAATGCATTCTAAAACTTTTTCATTAGAGTTCTTTTTTTGTTCATCCTAATCGTTTATTTCAAAACTGACCTGGAATAAACAAAAGCTAATAATTGTCAAAATAGCAAAAAGAAAAACCCTATCAATCTGTGATTTTTGAAAGGCTTTGTATATGTTTCTGTGTAAAGATTGAAAACAGAAGTTGATATTAGTTATGATTATGTTATGTCTATATTACCAGTAGCACTTCCTGTGTTTTTAGTAAAGTTCACAGTAAATAAATGAAAGGGTTGGAAATATAACTCAGTGGCAGGGTCCTTTCTTCACATGCAGAAGGCCATGTGTCCAACCCCTAGCACCAGACAAAAAAGAAAGGGCAGTAAGTGATACGTAAGCTGCTCATACTCAGGGTTAATATTCTATATTTTTGAAACATTATCCGGAATTGCTTCAATAATAGAATGTGATTGAGATCCTTTTGCATAAAGTTATTCAAATACAGATGTAAAGGTGCTAGACAAAGCCTTTCACAGCGACAAGATGTTTTTGAGAGAAGAGATGATTTCTTACATTCTATGTGTACAGACTCAGCCCAGTACCTGGCACATGAGAGTTCAGAACTAATTGTTATGAGGTTTCTTTCAACTTAAAACAATACAAATAAACTTGTAATGGGTTGTTAAATGTTTCCTGGTAACCATGACCTTATAGTTCTCGTAATTAGAAATTTTATCTTTAATTATTGCCATAAAATAACAAATCAATATATAAAATCTTTATTAAATTTTACTAAAGCTATACTGATACTAGATCTAGTTTTCATGACTTACACATGTGGATGTACATATACACACTCTCCATTATCTAGATATACACTTATACTGTCCAGTTAGTATAAAAGAAATCCTGTTGGAAACAGCATCGGACTGCTTAATACTGCATTTTGATATAGTGCTTTTTTTGTGCCACTGAGCCTGGACTCAGGAATATAATTGCCTGGTAGTATTGATTTAATTGCCCAGGTTTATTTGTGGACTCCTAATTATTGACTGGAGGTAAATTTAATGGAGCAGCCTTTATGAACCCTGGGAAATGCTGCTGTTGCTGTTATACATAATGAACTGCATCACATGTCTTTAGATCATTTTTCAAGCTAATTTTATTCCACTGTGACAGTGTGATAACATTTAAAAAGTCAAAGACTTTTATTTTTATTACTGACATAGGTGGTTTTGCCGATGTCTTTGAATTTTGTGAAGAAAAAATAGGAATTTCAATGGTCGCACTTGGATGTCACTTTATAATTATGCCCAAGGGAAAAATCCATAAGCTAGAAAACACATCTTTTCATTGTTGCTGGTCACTTCTTTTCTTCTCCTTCAGTCTCAGCATTTATATTTGTCCTGCATTTTCACAAATATTTTCTTTGCCCACCTATTTTCCTTGAGTCAGAGATATTCACAGGACTGTGTGGGCAAAAAATATAAATCTGCTTGTTCACACATTTGGTTACTTTATGACTGTGTCTCCCTGTATCTGCATTTATATGACCTTTGAGTTGTGGAATAATTGAACACGTTCCCTAAAAACCCTACCTAAATGGACACTGGTATAATGATATTAAATATTTCAAGGGTAAAGTTATAGGAGAACTTAGCTTTTCTGCTCCTCCTCTGTGCTGGGTGCTATATGAGACAGAACCCTGAGAATATAGAGAGGAATCTGGCCCCATGGTTTTTGACTTTATTCACATGATGAATTTTTATATTGACAATATATTCAGCATAAAATAAGAAGCCATTTTTGCCATGTGACTGAATCAAACTATATAATGTAATAATTACTGCCACTGTTAACCGGAGAGTATCAGAAAAAAAATGTATAAACTTTTAACATATAAATTATATGCAATGTATGTGTATTTTTAATTATAGAACACAAGGCTATAACCTCATTATTTCAAGTAGTTGTAATTAGTAATTCCATGTATTTAATATTTTTTCTGCAATTTACAGTTTCCTAATAAGAACCACATTGAAAATGCCTTTCTAAGATCTGCTTTCATATTTCTATAGTATAGATATATTTAATTTATTTTCATATTTTATTTGGACTTTGTTTTCATAGTAATATGTTTTTAAACTTTAAAAATGTCTTCTGACAAAGACAAACAAGAAAATTAATGATTATCTGAGATGGGAAATACCCCTTAAAAATGAGTTTTTAATGTAGTTTAAAGAGTGAGTGAAAATAGAGCTAGGACCAGATGATACTGGCTTTTGAGCAAGAGTTGTGCTTTCAGAAGGTACGTGACATCAGAAAGTAGGGAAGTAGCAGAGTCAAGATGGGAGGCAGTGGGGCAGGATACGCCCTGCTCATAGCAACAGAGACGCTGAGGGAAAATACTGTCCACATTTAGCAGTAATGAGAGTGCATAAATGGTCCAAAATCAAAGACAGATTACTTAATACCCTGTATGATGAGAAAGATGAAGACACTTTGAAGAGTTTTAGTGATCAAGAGGCCAGGTTTGATAGGGAAGAAATACTCAATAGTGATTGGAGCCATAGAACTTCTAGTAGGTTAACAGTATTTCAAGGAATGTGTTTTTCCTTAACTTATCATAGAGCCTTTTGTCTGGTTCTTTTCAGTTTACTGTAATCATTTAAGAATATACTTCATATGAACAACAAAAAGATAAAAACTCAGTATACTTGTATTGGGACCATACTAAAAAGTCTTCCTACCATAAGTTATTGAGAATACTGTCTGGATTCTGATGAGGAATTTTTCTTGGCATTAAATATTTATTTTCCAGTTAGTTGCTTCAGATATTTAAAATACTGAAATTTAAAATGGTTTACTTTCCACGATGTCTTCTCTAAGAAAGAGATAGCTCAGCTCTTGCAGAGGACCTAGGTTTGATTCCTAGCACCCACATGGTGGCTACGAATCATCCTTAATTAACTCCATATCCAGGGGAATCCGAAGCTCTCTTCTGACCTCCACAGCATTGCACGACATGGGTGCACTCACATACATGCAGGCAATACACTCATACACATAAAATGAAAATAATAAATAAAAATATTTTAAAAAGAAAAAGAAATATGTAGAATTCTTCATCTAGCAGTAATTAGTTGCCAACATTAATTTAGATAAGATTGGGGTCTCCTGTTTATTTTCTCAGTTCTATGTTGGGTTACTGTCTGCCTGAGTTTGCATGGGACTTGTGTATGCTGACACCTATGCCATAGAATCATATGAGCAGGTTCCCAAGAGCTTATAGGACTCTGTTTCCATGTGGTCATTCCCATCCTCCCTGGCTCTTACAATCTCTCCACTCCCTCTTCCATGATTGTCCCTGAGCCTTGGGCGGATGAAGTTTAATAAAGGGGTCCTGTCCAAGGACCATTCTAGATGAAGAACACTGATCTTCCTAAAACAAGGGACTAGATAGGCTGACTAGACTCAGTGGATGGACTTGCACTGGGGAATGGCTGGGGGCACTGACAACACAGTGGGCAGTAACAGGGATTAACAGAGTATATGGGCTCCAGTCGGAGGAGGGCAGCTATGGGAGGGTGCCATTTAGGATGGGGGCATAAAGATGTTTAAGATTGTTTGAGATGTTCTGTATGAAATACACAAAAAAATCAATTAAAAAATATTTAGAATTCTATTCTATAGAATGCCCTGTAGTATGGCTGTGGAAAAGTTTTATAAACCTCCCTGGCATTTGTAACTAGAGTGTACTACCAGCCTGAAGGTTAACTGAAAGTTTCTTAGAAATCTGAAGATTTCTCTTCTGTGATTGCTTTCTGCATTGCATTCATAACCCATGTGCCACATGCTTACATGCTTGCACACTTACCCTCTCTCATACATCATATAAGCATACAGACCCACAGACTTACTCCACATATCTAGCTGAAGTAAGAGTTGAAATTCTGTACTCCTCCTGCTTGAATACTTTATGTAACAATTTGAAGCCTGCTTTCATATCAGGAAAATGACATTTGTTGTAATTCTTTGAAACAATTAGACTCTAACCTATATTATCTGTTTTGTGGTAACTGCTTTTCTTGCTGTGGTAGCATGCAGTTTTGTGCTATAAAAAATAGGTTATAACTAGTATCCTAAAATTGTCTCACCCTAATACAAATAGGGTTTGCCTCAAGTTGT